ATTGTAATCTGGTATCCACTGGCAGATGCACAATGCCAGCGTTTTACAAAGTCAATAAGACCCTCCTTCCCCTCACTCTCTTCCACATTATTCTTTCCCTTGTGTTTCATAGTTCCTTCCCACACTGCAATCATTTGTTCTCGATATTCTCCGTCGATGAGTGGTTCGTACATGAACACTTGTACCCGTAGAATTTTAGTCGCGACATCGCAATACAGACGCACCGTTATGAGACCCCAGTGATTTGCACTTAAATTCACTGAGTGAACCATGAACTTTGTGTCGAGTATTTGTGACTTCGGTGTTGTTGGCCAGCCCACCACTCCCAACAAGGTTGAAAGCATGAGCGACTGTCCAATTGATCCCGCAATTGTCTCCAGACAGAATTCCACAGCGCTATCGTTCAACCAGCCTCGACATAGAGCACCAATTATGTTGTCAAATCCGAGCCACAGAGTATTTGAACGCGTCACAAATGTAGTGCGCAGTGGGCTGGATGCACATTTTGAAATAACGTCATTGGCAAGCTCTTGGTGCCGGATACGGACAGCATCCTGTGCAAGTCCAGCTGTGTTCGTTGCGACATCAAAAACCTTTATCACAGAATCGATTTTTCTCCAGTCCTGCTCAGCCACTTTCTGTCTTCAATCCACGATCTGCAGTTAGCCTTCATATCGTAGAACGCGGTCAAGGTACAGGCATAATCTCTGGAAATACACAAGAAAGTGTTCTGTTAGACAATTGCTTGAATCTGTAAGGTTTGGTAAAGCAACCGTATTGAAGCAACCCTTTTAAAGCAACCATCACTATATAGCAACCTTACCCGCTGAATTGCCATAGTTTGGGGTCGATGGTGATGACGACGTCGTTCTTCAGACCTTGCTTCTTCATGTTCTTGTCAAGTTTGCCGGGGCACACCTAATCGACCTTGGTTGCTACAGCCATGACCTAAACTGTTCTAGCTAGATCAGCAGGAATAACAAATGTGTGCATGTAGTCTGAGGGTCGCACCACTTCCTAGTGGCACTCCATCGACCGAGCTCGAAGGTAAGGGTCTCCCAGCTAAACAGGATATTTCTGCAACATCTCCAGAACATCCTTCAGATTAGGGGCGTTCTTTGCCCAAGTTAACAGCTCCTTCAATGATACTGTTAAACGACTTGGATACTTGTGAACAGCTAGACGGTCTGTCCCTCGTGGAAGTTTCGACTGCTTGAGCTGCATTCGCGGCTTCCTTTGCGTTTTGGTTTCGGTACATTAACAATATCTACCTGTCGCACAGCTGTCTCTGTCGTAACCTCAATAGGTTTTGGTTCCTCGCTTGGACAGGGTTCCTCCTTAATCGATATCTCAAGCGACGCTGGTGATTCTTTTGCTGAGCCATTTGATTTAGGTGATGGTAGCTCGTATTCTTCCCCATTTTGAACTGGTTCCGTAGTCTGCGTTGGCGGTACGTCATCCTCCAGCTCGCTATCATCATTGGTGCGATCACCATTGCTCACGGGTTCGTTCTCAAATTTCCGCATTAGTTTCACTGTATCCATTGCGTCTGTAGGATCAAATGTAAGAGAAGAATCACTTTCAGTTTCATCATCAGTGATATTTTGGTCGGAATTAACCGGCCTAGCCTTCTCGCATTTTAATCCCAACTCTATGGTTTCTTTCCACGTATTAAGTTCTTGATAAAACTCAGCACTTGACAGACTTGACAAATGGTCGAGAAGAGGTTCCAGCAGCGTAGGAGTATTTTTCAGCCGACGATAATACGACTTGATGTGCGCGCTCGTTACGGCGAAGGCGAACGTATACCACCTCTTTTATCGGCTTTTGAACTCCTGTCTCCTTAGACTGTTCATCGTACGGCGACGCATACGGTGGCCCATTCGGCGACTTATACGGCGACCTTATCTTGGGCGACTTTAGCTTTGACATTAACACAATTGGGTGCAATGTGGCTGCTGCCGCCGCTAAATCATCCCTGACATCCAGCGCACATGACATGCTCCATCGTTCACCGATCGACATAGCAGGAAGTAGCTCGAATTCATGCTCCTTGTCAGCCACGTACATTAAATGGCGGCAT